GATTGATGTCAGGTTCAGCCCAAGAATTGCACAAGACAGTCCGGAAATCAGCTCAGCTTCTTTATTAGCTAACACCTAATAGACAGAATCTCGCCAGACTAACTCTAATTCCCCAACGAGAGCAACTATAACCATCAAACCTTTAGGGAGGGGCCGGTCTCTTCCTCCTTACTTTCACAGTCCAGCTGGGGGCTGAGGAGATGCTTGGAATGTTACTCCTCCTCCCTGTAACCTTGAAGCTCCATTCCAGAATCCTCCCCACTCATGCCTTCCATCACAGGGCCCTTCTGACTGTACCCACTTATGCCTAGATTCTTGGGCTCTTAAATAGCCAAGCCAGTGGGTTCGCAGTAGGACCAACATAATAGATATTCCAAGAGATGAGTGATAAGTGGGGAATGATTATTACCAGATTTACTTACTTAAAGATTCAGAAATCTGCTCCTAAATGGTCATATGTTCATCCAAAGATTTCACTAACCTCTTTTGTTCCTCCTCTTTGGGCAGGTTCAGGGCGAACTCTCCGGGAAACTGTCCTGGAAAGTTCGCCCATCCTCGCATTCCTGAATGAGAGTTTCATCAGTACCTGGTCGTTGGTGAAGGAGCTGGAAGATTTACAGGTAAGGTGCTATTTAAATTCAGGAGTGAGACAAGATGGAATAGGTAGCTTGAGAAGACAGGGAAGAGTTCACATAAGATGAGCCTTGCTCTCTAAGATCACGTTCTGTCTACTCCTTCTATTCTTACGATGGCCAGTATTTTATTCTTCTTTGGATGCTTCTGGGACACTTTCGAGCAAGACACAAAAGCAGAAGTAGTGCCCTGCTTCTGTTTCTCAGCACTGAGTACTGGCGAGCAAATTGCCTCTGATCCTTTAAGTAATACAGACCGCCTCTCCCTGATTACATCATCCGTCCCATTAGATCTGGCAGGGAAGGTATGCTACATGTTCCACCGGCCAGGGACTTGCATTTGGTGGGTCCCAGGCCTTCTCTGCCGTGGCTCCTTCCTTGTGGAACATTCTCCCTCCTGAAGTGAGGCTCACCCC